AGTTGAAAATACAGATAGTTGCATTAAGACATTAAAAACAATCTCAAAATAATGAATATATGGGCTATTTTGTTGAATGTTGATATTAGAACCAACTATATAAAAACTAGGTGTCTCATGTGCCAATATCTGTTAAATCAGGAGAGGCATTTTCATGGCTGTGCTTCTGAGACTGAAGAGAATGAAAGAGATTTGGAATGCATAGGAGCTTCCCTGACACTTTCCTTCAAAATGTCCCAGAAACTTTCCAAATTTGGCTTCACCTGGAAAAGGTGCAGCTGTGTAGACCACCTGGAGCCCTGGGCAGCACAGCCTTGCACTTCTGCTTCCCTGGGAGGTTTACGTTATGGCTTGAACCACTGTGGGAGGGGTATCATAATGCTGCAGACAGTAGTAAGTGGAAATGTCTTCAGACTCCAGGCTGCTGATGGTGAGGGTGAAATCTGTACCAGATCCACTCCCTCTGAACCTTGATGGGATCCCAGTTGCTGGAGAGGATGCATCAAAGATCAGGATTTTAGGATTTTCCCCTGGTTTCTCTTGATACCAATATAACCAACTACCAATGTAGTAACTGGTCTTGCATTTGATGGTGACTCTGTCACGCAGAGATGCAGACAGCAAGGATGGTGATTGAGTCATTACGATGTAACATCTCACACCTAAGAGAACATACAACACATATAAACTGACTAATACTGTTGCATGATGAGACTCTGAGTAAGCCACTCAGCACTGGCAACACTGGACAAAAAATTCCGTGGATTCTCCTCCTTACCTGAAAACCAAAGCAGAAGAAGCCCCAGGAGCTGAGAGGGGTCCCTCATGTCCATGCTGTTTCCTAATTGGAACCAACTCCTTCTAGGGCAGTTAACTGACTACTATAAATCCTCAGGGCAGTGAAGTGTGTCCAGAGCATATGCAAATCATCAGGAACTAGCAGGGTTTAACACAGCTGCAGGATTTGGTTGAGCTCATCTCTAAGACTCAACACAAACCAAAATTTTCCCCAGGCGTCCAAGACAGACAAGAGCAGCAAAGGTTTGTCTGCGGAGAGCACATTCCTCTCTGTGGGACAAAGCACAACTTCAACATATAATCCTATGAGGAATCAGGAATTTTTAAATCAGGAATTTAAAAATTCCCATGGTGGGACCATAGGTAACGGGTATTATTTAAGGAGAAATGGGAAAAAATGGGGCACTTTTAAATGGGGAAACCATGGTGGAAGAATTAGAGAATGTGGGAGATAAATAATGCCCAGCTAGTTTTAAAAAACCTGAGGGAACCATATTAATTGTAAAACCTACTGACAAATTATATATACAAGTAGCTTGAGAAATATACTACATGTCTAAGCAAGGTCTATTTGAGAAGTATGGCCTTTGCTCAAGCTTTATCTACATAGCACATGGTAATTACAAGTACCAAACTTGTGGAACTAACCCTTTTGGATGTCTAACAGATATACTTTGAGGCCTATACTAATTTGGTCAGAGGGACATAAAGGACAGTTTTTGCTCCTTGTCCTCAGAGGTTGACTAAGCTCCAGGGGACTATGAGTATCTCCCAAAATATCCTGTAACTCTGGTGTGTCACCTGTCCTCTTAGTCAAGGAGGCCAAAGAGACCCAACCAAATGGACTTGAACCAGTGTCCAGTATACAAAGAGGAGGGTCAACACAGAGGAAAAATTTCCTCCATGCTTCCAAGTGAAGCCAGCCACAGTCAAGAAGGACTTTTGACTTATCATCACCTAGGTGGAACTGATGAAACAAAGGAGC